ATTGTTAGGTTTGATCATCATTGTAGCATGGAATTTTGATAGATCAAGGTAGCCTTGACTTTGACATTTCATTTCCGTTATAACTTGTAAAAAATTGTCTAACAAATTGTATGAAATCGATTGCCTAACCATCATTTGTAATTGTAATTGTTCAAAGTTTGCTTTGGTTGATGACTTCACTACCAACCATCAATTTGGCTATAGAATGGTAATAGGGCAAATACCGACCCATAATTTATCCATGATTTAAGAATGGTTGGAATTTGGATAGATCAAGGTATCATTGAGGTTTACATTTCATTGTCGAACCATTATCAGGATGTGATTAGTCGTATTTATAATTTGCTATAACTTTTCTAGGAACACTACCAAACCATGAGTTTGACTATAGAATTGTAATAAGGTAGATACCAACCCATAATTTAAATAGATGAAAGATTCCTTACGTTAAAAGTCTCATTGTCGTAATCTTGATCTGACTTTAAAAAATAATCTGGGGATTATTAATATAGGAATTTCTTAGATTGTCAGGTTTAGTCATGATTGTACTATAGAATTTAGATAGATGACTGTATCCTTCAAGTCGACATCTTACAGCCGAATAGAATGGTAATAGGGCAAATCTTGATCCATAATTTAAGAATAATTGGAATTCAAATAGATCAAGGTATCATTGAGGTCTACATTTCACTACCGAACCATTACCAGGATGTGATTAGTCGCATTTCTAATATGTTATAACTTTTCTAGGAACACTACCAAACCATGATTTTGGCTATAGAATGGTAATAAGGCATATAGCGACCCATAATTTATGCATAATTTAGATAAATCAAAGATTCCTTCTGTTAAAAATCTCATTGCTATAATCTTAATACGACTTTAAAACATCAGCATGACATAAACAATTAATCATTCATATAACAAATTAAAATACACGAATGTTTTTACAGAAAACATATTCAATACAAATGAACCGTTCCTACTAAGATAGATATGACATTTACTTACAGTTTGGCAAACAATAGGATCATCTTTGATTTGATCTTAGTAAAGTATATGAATATTTCATTGAAAACAAAAACAACAAAATTTAATCGATCTTCATGTTAAGATTGTTAAGGAAGAATTATTCATTCATATAACAATTGTTACTTGAAAACGAAATCAACAAAAGTTAATTAATTTTCATATAAAAATTGTTAAGGAATACACTTATTGTCCACTTTTTAGATTGTCAGGTTCGATCATGATTGTAATATAAAATTTAGATAGATGATTCTATCCTTTAGGTCGACATCTTACAGCCAAAATGTTAATTATGTTGTAATTGTGATACAAGAACATAATAAACGTTTGGTTGAATCATAACGTGATATTAGCCAACCTGCTGAACGATATTATTGATAAAAAAAATTGAAGTAGTTCAATGTCTCTTTGAGTTAAAATTCCAATACCAGTCTATAAACGATAAATCTGACGATTTGCATTGTAATAAACCGTTTGCTGAGCCATAATTTATTCAATATATCAAAGGTGTGCTTTATTTCAAAAACTCAATGCTGAACCATAATATTTTATGTCAATGAATTGTAATAAACAAACTGCCGAACCAATCATACTGCCCGATTATGAATGACGATTTTTTTACTTCTTTTGCTAGTGTGGCTGCATTGCATTGGCATTCCAAACATCTAATCATTTTGACACGTCGGATGTATATTAATAACAATTTTATAGATGCATTGCATTGACATTCCAAAGGTCTAAATAAAAAGATATAAAGATTGGAGTTAGTTTCTTCATAAAACGATAAATTTAACGATTTGGATTGTAATAAACCACCTATTGAGTCATAAGTTATTCAATATATCAAAAGTGTGCTTTATTTCAAAAACTCAATGGTGAACCATAATATTTTATGCCAATGAATTGTAATAAACAAATTGCTGAACCAACCATGCTGCCTGATTATGAATGATGATTTTTTACTTCTTTTGTTAGCATGGGTGCATTGCATTGGCATTCCAAAGGTCTAACCATTTTGACACATTGGAGTTAATTTCTTCATATCCTATTTTGTAGCTTTACAATTTGTAAGTTATTTTGTCAACTTATGATTCTAGTGGTGTAACACTAGTCATGATATGAACACTTCGCTTTGAATATTGCACAATTATTATTGTTTAAATTTCCAGTGTGACGACCTTGTGTTAAAAGTGACCACCTTCTATTATGTTGTTTATCTACTATATCGGGTGAGCACCTCTGAGTCAGAGTGATCACAATGTATCTGACAGATTTATTTGGGTAACACGTGTTATGCTTCTAGAATGCATGAGCTATTTTATTCTCTTATCAGATATTTGTGTGGTCCATAATACCTGTCAATTTTATATTCAATGTGCTGGAAAGTTTTATTCTCTTTGATAGGTGGCATCTTTCTTGATTTTGGAATAAACTTTTGTAAAGGTGAATTCAATAAAGTTATTCCTTGCCACTTGTTCCCTTGCACGGGAGCCCAAGTTTTCTATATATTCGTCTCCTCCAATGCAATTCTTCTGAAGCCTGAATATTCCTTTGATATTACTCTAAAAGTTCCTTGAGGTTTCTTTTGTTTTAAATCAAGTTTCATATGACTTAGGTAGGCTTACAAATACCTTTGATAAACATTGTTTATTTGTTTATGGTTGGAACGTGGGTTTCCATTGGTGATGCTTGATGGGATTTCAATCTTTTGGAGCTGAAGTGCATCTTCAGTGTTGATCCTTGAGAGGAGCTCAAGGCTGACTAGGTGGTCTTGTGAACGTGGAGCTTACTGTGGTAGTTTGAAGTTCGACCAAAGGGTGGAGTTTAAAGCGTTGCGAAACAGGGAGTGTTCTTGCAACTAATGCTTAACTTTGGCTTTGTAATTGAACTACAAATGTTTACCATAGTGGATTGGCTTCATCTAGACTTGGTCCAATGGATGTAGGCATGTTGTTGAACCATGTAAAAATCCCTGGTGTTTTACTTTGGTTTATTTTTATTGCTTTGTGTTTATGTTCAAAGAACTCTTAAAATCAACATAGCAACTATTTCTGCTTAGGATTAATTGACTTAATTTAATTGGTATCAGAGCTTGTTCTTGAAAGTTATTTCAATTGATCCTTGCTTGTTGATTATGATTTTATTGCCTTTTTAATCTGTTTTTGTTCTGGTTTATTTTTCATGTTTTTCTGTAATTTTCTCATTACAGATCTAGGGTGACCACCCTGTGTTGAACGTTTTGCTTGTGAACATCTCTGTGTGTGTATTGTCACCTCTGTCTTTTGAACTTGAGGGTGACCACTTCAGTTCTTAGTGTGACCACACTTTTTGTTTTATTTACCATGAGTTTGTTTAGGGAAGGAGGGTCTACCAGTAGACCACCCTTCTTGGATAGAACCAACTATGCTTTTTGGAGACCTAGGATGCGTGTCTTTTTGAAATCCATTTATGAGAGGGCTTGGATGGCTTGTATTGTTGGTTGAAAAAAACCTAAAGTTGAAGAAGCAAGTGGGAGCAAAGGAAAAGCCATTGATCAATGGACCAAGGTTGAGTCAGAATAGTCTAGCTTTAACTCAAAGGCCTTGCATGCCTTTTTTAATGCTGTTAGTATAAGTTAGATGAAAAATATTGCTAGCAGTGTGACTACAAAGGATGCGTGGGATAGACTCCAAGTAAGAAATGAAGGAACAAACCTTTTGAAAAAGACTAGGCTTAGGAGATTAATAACTAATTATGAAAAACTTGTAATGCATGATGATGAATCAATCTCTGATTTTCATGGCAGATTATGTGATATCACTAATGAGTGTTTTGCTTTAGGTAAAATCTTTTTTGATGTTGAACTTGTTAGGAAGGTGTTGTGCTCCTTGTGTCAAAGATTTATGTCCAAAGCAACCTTTATTGAAGAATCCTGTGACCTCGATGTGATGTAGCTGGACCAATTGATTGGATCTCTTCAAGCATATGAGCAATATTTGAAAAGGAGGGTAAGCAAAAATCAGGTAATGACCTTGCATTTAAACATGGGATGAAACCCTTGATGATGTTGATGATATTGATATGGATGATGATGAATGTGGCTTACTCATAAAAAACTTTGAAAAATTTTAAAAAAAGAATATGAGAAAACCAAATGTGGCTAGAAAAGGCAAATAGTCTTGTGTTAAAAATTTTGGTGACCATTTTGATCAAGGTGTCTTTTCAAAAGAAAATGAAAAGAAGAACATGTTGGAGTAGGTGCCCTAGAGCCAATCAGTTATTGTAGAATTGACTCTTTGTAATAATGTTCATTAATCAATAAAAGACATTTTATTCTATATCGCATAAATCATTATTATTGCAATATTTATTAATATATGTCCTTAGAATGATAGAACCGTGATGAAGGTATCAAGTGTTTCAAATCTTGATAGTGAAAACCCTATGAGCACATATGGTGGCCATTCTAGAAACGTCCGTAGCCCTAGTATTATTTTGAAGTAAGGGCACAGATAATACGGTAAGACTATCATAGTGTTGAACGACCCTGTCAAAAGGCAGTGACTGATCTCACTTGTCAAGGTTGTTTGGTGACAACCTGGTGTAACACATGGGTGCTTGCTATAGGCGATCACACCGCAGGAAGTTCACTGGACTGACCCACCAGAGGATTCCATATGGATGGTAACCCCAGTGTCTATGGAACAAATCCTCAAACGAATGGTAGTGCATGTGATCCTTAGACTTGAGATCACCNATCATGAGATGATGAATAAAATACCCAAAAATGCTTGTAATACCCTGTATTTTAGATTTTATTAGATTTTATTTTGCGATTTTTTGGGGGTTAAAGGGCAAGAAATTGAAACCTTTTTGGAGGACAGTGTAATATCTGAAACAAGTAGGGGTTTAAAAAAACTACCGTAGTTAGTATTAAAATAACTTTTCGCCCAAAAGAAGACGAATCGAGAAGAAGAGAGGAAGAAGAGAGAGGAGAGTTAGTATTAAAATAACTTTTCGCCCAAAAGAAGACGAATCGAGAAGAAGAGAGGAAGAAGAGAGAGGAGAGGAAAGAAAGAAAAAAAGAGAAGAAAGAAAAGAGAGGGAAGAGAGAAAGAAAAGAGAGGGAAGAGAGAAAAGAAAGGAAGGAAAGAAATGGAGAGAAAGAGAGAGAGAGAGAGCGAGCGATGAAAGTGGCTGCCGGCGGGCAAATTTCGGTGATTGGAAGGAGTAGAGGAAGATTAGGCTTATGGGAGGGAGGTAAGCAGGGGGCACAATTAGAGGATTTATACTCCTTCGGATCAAGGTTTTTGGCTTGAAAAAGGTGAGTGGATTAATAATTTTCATTAAAATTAATATTGGTCTTAAGTTGATTAATGATATACCATGCATGTATAATATATATTGAATAGAGTTGTGGAGAGATATTGCTTGTGTTGTGATTGTTTGAGTTGAGTTGGTGAAGAGAAATCCAGGCAATTGGTGGGGCTGGTTTGTTTGATTAATAAATGGGAGTGTTTTTGTTTTGAATGAATTCTAATGGTAATGTTTGACTGGTGGGGTTTTGGCTGGATGATGCATAAAATGGTGGCTGGAATTATATATATTGTAGATTGCATTTTTGCTCAATTTATGTTTGAAAGGGGTGACTGGATTATGTGTGTCTATGGGGTTCATTGTTGGCAGAATAGAGCATGGAATATAGGCTGAAATTGCGTGTGTAAGGACTGCATTTTGGGGTCAGTTTCATGGTTATAATGTGGCCGGATTTTTGGTGTGTTTTAGGTCACTTTTGTTGACAGTTTTAAACACAAATGGATGCTGGAAACTTCAGGAATTACAGAATGCATATTTGGTTGTTGTATGCATGTATCGGTTGGTGGTAATTGTGAAAGGAAATGCTTGTAGTTGGTCTATAATTATGGGTCTACTGGTTGTGGTTGTCATACTTATACCCATGAACAAGACTAATATGGTATTTATTAAGTTTATAATATTTGGGTGCTTCTATTTTGCTGGACATTTATTGTTATTTGGTTTGGGTAATTAGATTTAATTAAATTAGTGGGCTCAATTGTGTGAATGGGTATGAGATCGTGGGCTGCATAAATGGGTAGATATAGTATTTGGCCTTTGAAGTTTATTTGGGATTTATTAAGAGTTGGTGGGCTGGCTTAAAAAGGGTTGGTACAGATTTAGAGCCCATTGGTTAATAGTGTTGTTAGAACATTTCCAATGATGCTCTTTATTTTAGAGTCTGATCTCGATTATGTGAAGGGAAGTCCTTTATTTATAGCCACCGATTTCAGGGTAATAATCACAAATCTGCAAGTGGGTAGGTGTCGTGCAAGTCCTTCCTTGTGCCTCATTGGTTGATAACTTAGGAAATATCCTTAAATTATATGGGGCTTGGACAGGTGTGCGAACCAAATTCATTCACAAACAAAACTTGTTTCGGCTAGGTTGGTGACAACTATATTCTTCTTGTCTTGGGGTGATGTGGTAGATTCTAGGTAGCACAAAGCCTTCTCGAACTCTGATTGGTGCTCGCTAACATAAGCTTACTTCAGTCTTGATTTTTTAGGCATAACAAAAGTTCCCTAGTTCTTGAGATTGCAAAGAATTGGATCTTGAGAACTTCATGATTATGTCGCGACCTGACTTGACTTCAGACATGCTTGCTCGAGTTGAGAATTGAGATACAATCACATTGTTGCAGACAATTTGAAGTTGACTGCTTGATCTAAATTCTTTCTTATCTTGCGAACTGAAGGCTAGTCATGTACTATGACTTGAGAGTAATAGGCGACCTGGCGTGATCGTTTACTGAGATCTATTGACCTGAGCTTGATCTTGCCTTGACACGTCGGGAGTTTTTTTGAAACACTAATAGTATTACATGGCTGAAAATTTTGAATCATCTTGTTTGGTGTCCACGTTTGACATGTTGAATAAATGTGTCTTTTAAACAACCTCTTCAGATGTTCTTTGTTGCATTCGATAGCTGGGTCGGTCAATAAAGTAATCTTTATCAGATAGAAGTGTCACTGTGCATAATAAGTGTCAGTCATGAACATTAAATGCAAGTCATGCTAAAACAACATTCCCTTTTGGCGCATTAAATACGGATGAGATAATTATGCTGGCGATTGGCGTTCTCGATAAAGGGCAACGTTAACTGGTTTCTGCAAGGCGTGGGATTACTCTTCCCATGGATCGATGGATGACACATGGTTGTGATTCACAGTTAAGAATGAATTCTCGTCCAAATGTTGCTTATAAAGAAGCTGTAGCGTCATCCTCTTCATTATAAAACCCTAACTTTGCCTTAACTTTTCAGAGAACTCGAATTTTTCAGAGAGAAAAAACCATTTTCTTATTCTAAAAAAATATGTTCTTCCTTTACTAGTTCATGCGAGCCCAACGCTACATCAGAGCACCATTTTAGGCAACCAAGAGGTAAAGAAATTTCTTCATTTTTCTCTTTTTCACATTCTTGCAAATTTTTCTTTTTACAGTCATGGTGATTATAGGTATCTCGTAGGTCTAGGAAAGGAGCACTTCTGGGTAGTGTTAGAAACAAACACTTGAAGGCTTAAACTTGGGGTAAAGAGTCTTGAAGGACTGTTTTTAGGAGTTTTAGGGTTTAGGAGCCTGATAGCCATGGTAGAAACCATAGAGATTTCCTCTACTTCGTCTGAGTTGTCGTATGAGGTATATTTTTCAAGGTTTGAGTCTCACTTAAATGTCGTACCTTTACAGACTCTAGAGTCAGTGGAGATCCTTGAAATGAGAATAGCTGGCGAAGAAAGCTCACACCCATCAGGTACCTCTATAGGACCCAGGAAGGTGATAAGGTCGACTGCCACAAAGGAAGAAATAAAAAGGCGTTGGACCAATACGTGATCTCAATGGACGTGTATCGAAAGAGGTTGTACACTGCTCAAGATCCTCCCAAGGGAATGGCTGCGAATTTTTAAATGCGGAGTGAGAATTCCCTTCCACCCTTCATTAGGTCAATTCTCAACCACTTCCAGGTCGCACTATTCCAGTTGACATCGAACACATATATGATAGTTGTCGCTATATATATGTCGTTCTGTGAGTACGACCTTGAAAAGCCAATGACGCTAGAGCTCGCTTGCACCTATATTTTGAAAAATAATAAAGATAAGGACTCGTACTACCTCTCCAAGCGATCAACGATCGAGGGAGGAATATTTGGTTATCTAGTAATATGGGAGCATAAGAAACCAAATATTTTTCCTTTAAGTACAACGGTGTCTATAAATTTCAGAAACTGAGTAGATTTTTTCCCTTCAATTCCAGGTCCCTTGTCCTTTTTTACTTATTCTTTTTTTCAAAATATAAGCTAATGAGCTTTTTTCTTTTGTAGAAAACAAAACGACCAAATTGTAGCTGTTGACCGATCGTGACCGCATTCAAGCATTTAGCCAATTTTTGGATGAAGGTTTTGATGTGAAACTGCTCGTGACGACTGAAAATCTTTGAAATTACGGATTCTTTCCTTCTGAGGCATATCTAGCTAGTTTAGCTTGTAAGTTTTTCTTTAATTTGAAAAACCCAAGTCTTTTAAATATTTAGACTTTATTCACTGTTCATTTTTGATGCCATGCAGCAACCATGCAGCCGAAGAAACCAAATTGACTTGTGGGAATCACCTTCCCCAGGTTGAATCCAGGCTCCCAAGCTAGAGCGACTTTGGACAGTCTCCTTATAACGGGGACCCAAACTGGTGCCAAAAGGCAACCAACTGTGGAGCGACGTGAAGAAGCTCCCCAGCCTGTTGTTGCATATCCAATGAAAAAGAAGATGATGGGTACGAAGAGGAGGAGGATAATAACAGTAGAAGCGTCTGAGTCTAAGTAAGACGACTTTAGGATATTGCTAGGCAGGCTACAACCTACCTAACTCCTTGCTTTGAAAGCCCCTCCAAAAGATGTGTTAAAGGCATCTTAAAGGAAAGAAGGCGAGGCCACTCAAAGAGAACCTGGCCAAGAACAGAGAGAGGAGATTCCTGACATGAGAGGTCGGGACAAGTCTTTCTTAGGCCTTCTTAGGCAACTTCCAGATCATCTAATGTTGGTGATCTTCACACTTCTTGAGTGCCAACTAGAGTCGATCTTTGAAAGGTACATTGTCTTCTGACCTTCCGACCTTTTGGTCATTGCGCTCCAACTGTAAAGCCAGGTAAAGCAAATATTTCCCTTTGCAAACTCTTGGACATTGATCGAATTTCTTAGTTTTTATAAATAAAACTAACTCTTAATCATTTTCCTTTGCAGTCTATGCTTGCCCTGAACATTTCACGCATAACAAAATGAAGATCAACTCCGGAGGAAAACTCCATGAAATGAAGGAGGAGATCATCAAATCGAGGCAAGCCCTGGCGGATTCTAATGAAGCAACAAGTGATGCACAACTTCAAGCGAGCACACTTCTGGCAGAAAAGGACTCTACTTGCAAGCAGTAGAGTTCTAGAAGCAAGAGCTTTTGAAAAAGGACGATCAAGTCAAAGAGCTTTAGATGAAAATGGCGAAGCTTACTAGAGATCTGGGCTCATGAGAGCATGAGCTTAAAGAAAGAGAAAGTCAACTCCAAGAGAGCTTGAATCGAGAAAAAGAGATGGAGGATTTTTGAACTGCTTTGTGGACGAACAAAGAGAAGAAAGTGAGAGCAAAAGAGTTAGAGCTCGAGGTGTCCCATGGGCAAGTCACTTCACTAATCGACCAAATGCGGCAGCTTAGCAATGAGGTGGAAAGGAAAGCTAGTTATTGGTCGCTGCAAGTTATTTATACCTTGCGAGCGAACAATGCAAACATGGATCTTTCCAGCCTTCTTGAAGAATATCAGGTAGTGCTTGCATCGACGCAGTCGGTTGAAGAACAAGAAGACCAAGAGATTGCCCAGAAAGAGGATTAGCAAGAAAAAAAAGAATCCCAAAGACCAAGCTATTGATCCTAAGATCGTAGAAGCGAAAGTTAGGGGTTCTGAAGTTCAAGAGAAGTGATCGACCTCTGCTCTGCCTACTATTGAAGTATCTCTTTTGTCTCTTTTTCCTTTCGATATAGCTTGCTGATCATCTATGTACACATTATTTTAATATATAAATAGACTTTTTGGCCATTTGTGATAACACTTTTATAATTTAAGTACTTCATGAAATGAATACAACTCTTTTGATCATAAAACTTGTAAAACATTGTAAATAACAAGATTATAAAAACTTGAGATTACAACATAAGTGATTATTGAATAAGAATGAGAATAATCTTATTGATGAAATTTACAAGTTACGATTACAAGTAAAACAGATCGTATAAGCTATACAAGAGTTTTGAATTACTGATAATAAGGTTGCAAATGCTCAACATTTCAAGCTCCTGAAACTTTAGAACCATTAAGCCTTTTAAGATGATACGTCCCAAGTTGAATCACTTTAGCGACTCGATAGGGACCTTTCCAGTTAGGCCTCAATACTATTGCGCTTAGTTTTTTTGTATCGAGAATGACTTATTTGAGTACCAACTCACCGACCTGAAAGTCTCTTCTCCTAACTTTGGAGTTGAAGAACCTTTTAGCCCACTATTGGTAGGAAGCTATCTTTAACTGAGCTTTGTTGCAGTGTTCTTCAACCAAGTCTAGACTTGCAAGCATAAGTATTTCATTGTCTGCCTCATTATAAAATTCTCTCTGATGTGAACCAGTTTCTCCTTCAACTGGGGCCACTGCCTTGCAACCATATGCTAGTGAGAATGATAATGTCTCTGAAGTAGAAGTTCTCGGAGTTGTTCTATATGCCCATAGAACTTCTGAGAGATCGTCGGCCCAATTACAGTTTGCTGTGCCAAGCTTGGCCTTCAAAGTGTGCTTAATGGTTTTGTTGACAATTTCAACTTGACCATTAGCTTGTGGTCTTACTACTGAGGTGAATTTCTTATGAATCCTCGGCTCTTCGCAAAACTGTTTGAACTCTCCATTGTTAAACTATTTTCCATTATCTGAGAGGAGTGTGTGAAGAATTCCGTAGTGGTATACTATATTCTTGAAGACAAAGTCTTTGAGTTTCTTTGTAGTGATCGCGGCTAAGGGCTCTGCCTCACCCATTTAGTGAAATAATCCACTACAACCACAGTATATTTGACACCACCCTTACCAGTTGGCATAGGAATGATGAGATTAATCCCCCACATAGCGAATGGCCAAGGACTAATCATCATTGTTAGCTAGTGAAAAGGAGCTCGCGGGATGTTCGCGAGCAATATGATTACTATAGATTCCTTCATGTATCTCTCTCATTACGTAGTTTGCATCTTCATCTATCACACATCAGAGGAGAAGAATACTAAATCCTCGTTTATACAACTGATCTCTAATTAAGGTGTAACTATCAACTCTTGTTTGTAGGAGTCTTGCCCCAGTCTTGCTGTTAGGAAGAACCTTTTCTTTGAGATATTGAATGATTGGAGTCATCCAAAACATAGATTCAGCCACTGTTTGATCGGGTGAGTTGATGTTGGGAACTTTGATGTATTTGATTGGGATATTATCTGGCATATCAGATTCTAGCGATAAAATTATCTTAGCCAAAGCATCTGCGATAGAGTTACTATCTATTGGGATCTACTTGATCGTATACTGCTTGAAGGGCTCAAGTGCGGCCATGGCTTGATACTCTCCCAATATCTGGTTAACTACCAGTTGGGAGTTACTATTGATGTCAATCATTTCTGACCCCATCTCTTTTGCTAATCGCAAACCAACATATAGCGCCTCATACTTAGCCTCATTATTAGTGGCTTTGAATCTGAACCTAAGAGTTCCATAAATGCGAGTTCCTTTAGGACTAATGAGCAGAAGACCAGCTCCGACTCTTTTTCTGTTAGAAGATCCGTCAACATAGAGACTTCATGTTGATAAATTTTGAACAGTTTCTTGGACAACTTCATTGGCTGGCTGATCAGATTCTCGATCTGGTTGATAAGAGAACTCCGATATAAAATCAGCCACGACTTGCCCTTTGATGGCTACTTTTGGTTTGTAATGCAGATCGAACTGACTTAATTCTATGGCCCACTTAACCAATTTACCAGAGGCCTCTGGTTTCTAAAAGACTTGTCTAAACGGATAATTGGTTAAAACATGGATAGTGTGGGCATGGAAATAAAGTCGTAGCTTCTTGGAGGCAATCAGCTAGGCAAAAGCTAATCGCTCAATCTCTAGATATCTTGACTCGACATCCAGTAACCGTTTTCTGATATAATACATTGGCCATTGAATTTTGCCTTCTTCTCGAATGAGAGTTGTGATTATCGCATACTAAGAAACAGATAGGTAGAGAAACAAAATTTCCTTGGGAAGTGGCTTAGATAGAAGATGCAGCTTTCCAAGATGCTTTTTTATGCTCTGGAAGACTTGCTCACACTCTAGAGTCCATTCAAATTTCTTGTTAGCCTTGAATGTATTGAAGAACGGAAAACAACGATCTGTTGCTCTTGATATGAGGCGACTTGATAAGTGCTTGAAAATACACTTATACTTAGTGGTTTATAAGTATCATTTGTGGGAAATTAGGATTAATTCGCATGAATTAACTTAATTATTTCATAAACGCACTTTTCGAGATCACGGGTATTTTTGTTGTGTTTTCAAGAAATAAGGCTCAAAAATAATATTCGGATGAGAGATGATGTTGGCGAGAGAATTTGTGATGACTGGAAACAAACGGATTGAGAATCGGAGTTGAATTGAAGAAGTTATGGAAGTTGAAGTAAAGAGAAGATCCTAAATTACATTCCAGCCTGAGCATGTCTTGGTATTTTAATAATATCTTGAGATGCAAAACTTAGATTAATACGAGTCTTGGACCGTTGGAAAGCTAATTCAAAGGGCTGCATTTAATATATTTACCACTTTTCCAAATTTCATCATTATCGAGTTCAAAAATCACAATCTCTGAAGAATGGTGGAATGATGCGGGAAGAAGACCAATAGCTACTGTGCCGTGTCACACTTTTTCCAGTAGCTACAGTGCCATAGCATAGTGCCGCGGCACAGTCACGACAACTAGGAACTTTTCCTCCGTTTTTGACTAGGAAAATAGGGTTTTAAGAGTCCTAAACTAACTAGAATTAAGGAAAACAAAACCCTAACCCTTATGGGATATAAATAGAAGTCTTTTAGCATTATTTGAGGGGGAATTCTTTGAGAGATAAAAAAAGAGAGAACAAAGATTATTCAAGAACCGAAGAAAAAGGGAGATTAAAGAAGGCTTGGAGAAGAATAATTGGAGGAGATCATCATCAACTTCATTAATCCAACCAAGTTTTATTAAGTTTTTCTTCTTCTTTGTTATTATTATTTGTTATGAATAATACAATGATGTTCTCATATTTATTCATGAAGAACTAATTCTTTTGTGATCGAGGGTGATTTCAAAACCCTAGACATGTCTTGTGTTCAATAAAATCTGCATCTTTTTATCTTTTGATCCCTCTTGGTTATGTGATTATTTCTCTGAAAATAGGGTTTAACTAGATTCTTCTAATTGTTTAAGTGGCCAATTAAATCATTAGGATTAATTTATTAATGCCAATTTAGGTTGTTTAGTACGAAATTGCTTTATTAACCTAAATAACTAGTGGTAAAGTGTATGCCTCCATACATGGGGGGTAATCACTCGAGATAACTAAACCGACCATACGAGTTTAGCCTTGATTCAATAGGTCTCTCGCAACTTAATGCTTTTATTACTTTGAATCTAGAGATCGTATCCTAGGTTATCTAATAAATAGGGAATTATGTTATGACCGTATCTAATCCAACGACTTAGTAAAGAGAGATAGAACTTATCAAAGTTTGGTATTTTCTGAGCCGATGTGATTAAGAGGGTGGAAAGTTAAAGAGTGCTTTTATTTTATGTAATTCATGTCTTGTGGTGGCGAATAAACCTTCAATCTAGTTTCTCTTATTGATTTCTCTATCATCATTAATTGCTTGATTTACATTGTTTGCTTTGAGTTCTTTTTAGTTTTTGTTGAGATTTTATAATTCGTGACAAACCCCGTTAGAAGTAGATAATTAATTAAGTTCACAAATCCTCTGCGGGAAAGACCCTTACTTGCTCTTTGCTATTACACGACTTTGCATTAGAATTTAATGAGGTAAAATTAGGTGTTGCATTTGCATGCATCAATTTTTTACTGAGAACCATTATTCTCCTATTCAAGCTATGAACTTGTTTGCAATTTGTTGGACTTTTCATATCTAAAAGAGTTTGGGTCTTTTCGGGGTTGACTTCAATTCCTTGGTGGTTAACCATATACCCTAGGAATTTTCCTGAGAATACTCCGAATGAACACTTGAAAAGATTAAGTTTCATTCTGCATTTTCGGAGTATGCTGAACATTTCTGCGAGGTGGACTATGTGATCTGAAGCGACATGCGACTTTACCAACATGTCATCAACATAGACCTTCGTTGTTTTCTCGATTTACTCAAAAAACATACGATTAAGTAGATGTTGGTAGGTTGCCCTAGCGTTTTTTAGATAGAAGGGCATGACTTTATAACAGTAAAGTCCTAGATCTGTGATGGACAAGGTATGCTCCTCGTCGAGTGTGAATATTAGAATTTGATTACACCCTGAATAGGTATCCATGAAGCTTAGCAACTCGTGCTCGGAAGTGGCATCAACGAGCTGATTAATTCTTGGCAAAGGGAAACTGTCCTTTCGGCAGGCTTTGTTAAGATTGATGAAATCAATGCAGGCTCGCCACTTACAATTGGGTTTTTTTCACCAAAATAGGATTGGCGACCCAACTAGAGTAATGAGCTTCCCGAGTGAACCTGATTGTGAGAAGTTTATCCACCTCAACCTTAAGGGCTGCATAACACTCTGGATCCATAGCTCTTCTTTTTTGGCGAACTAGTTTGAATTCTCTATCGATGTTGAGTGCATGACATATAACCTTGGGGCTAATCTTGATCATGTCGGCATGAGTCAATGCAAAAACATCAATATTCTGTTTGAGGAAGCTCGTTAAATTAGCAACGAGCTGAGAGTTGAGGTTACTTCTAATTCTTAGCACATGAGTTGGCTCA